ATACCTGCCTCTTTCCTGCACCCTCATTGGCACCAGAAAAAAATGTTGAAGTTATTCTAAAAGGAATAAATTCCAAAATAATTGTGTTGCTGAGAGACAGGGATAGTGTAAATGTCTGTAACTCAGCCCTAATGGAATGGCAGAAAACAGAATGGAGATACGGCAAAATGGCTTTAGGAGTTGTGCAGTTTGTCTTCCTTTTTTAATGGGAAGGGTAATTCCATGGTTATTAACATCTGTGTCAGTGTAGGGCAGGAGCCCAGCTCTACCAGCCTTGCTTACCCTGGCTGTGTGTGTTTGCTCCTGCAAAGAACCCCCTGACTGTGGTGGTGGTTGCAATTACAAGTAATTCTGACAGCGTGTGAGAAGGGGTTGATGACATGCGTGCTAAAACACAGGGGGCTTAAATTCTGTGCATTTTAGGCAAGGGTCAAACTAAGCTTTTGCACCCTGAAGTTATTCTTGACTAAAAAAATACGTTGATGGCCAGGAGCATTTATCTTCTTCTTGCTGTGAGGCCGTGGGTACCAGAAACGCTCTGCTTTTATGTGCCCGAGATGTCAGTCTGCTGGGGTGCTTGTTGGGCCAGGGTGATGCCTGACCACAGATTAGATGCTATTTTGGAGTAAGAGGGGGCATTATCACAGGGGCAAAAATAAATTAGTTGACTTTACCAGGTTACCCAGGGAGCTGGAGAAGAATCCTGGATCCTCAGGAGGTGACCGGAAGTTTGTCCTCCTTCTCCACATCACCATTCCCCCAGCAAAAGTCATTTTGCTGCTCATCTCACCCCAGGCTTGCAGGGCTTGGACCCTGTCTTACTGCCAGTCTCCTGGGCAATTCCCATCTTTTCTTGCCTCCTTTCCCCTTGGTAGCTACTGTAGCTCCAGTGTGAATGTCTGCTGTAGGAGCAGGCAAGCCGAAAAACCGAAACAACCTGAGCCACTTCCCCAGAGCTGTGCAGCCTGGGAGCCGAGCACCATGCGCGCAACATATTCGTTATGGCCCTGCTCTTAAAAGTCTTCCTTTGTTCCCCCAAGCTGTTGTAACAATAAAGACATCTTTGTTCCTTTCGCTGCAAAGAGGATGATACTGCAGCGATACTTCTGGGCAAGCATTCCTGTGGGAAAGGTAGGACCAGCTCTGCAAGTTCAGATCTGGGAAGTCCATCCTCTCTCCTTAAAGCCTTCCTGTGCCGTCTGTGCCTGCACCCTGCATAGCCAGCTGCCTGCAGTGTCCAGGAGCCCCAGTGTGGTCATTGGGCTTTAGAAGGTGTAAGGGATGGCCAGACTGAGGCTGTGGGATGGGGAGAGGAAGTTTCTTCAGCAGATGGGCAGAAAGTGTGGGCAGCACTGCACTCGTTAGCACCAACGCTCATCAGCAGAAGAGGTAATCAGCCCAGTGGCTGCATCCCTCTCCAGGGTTTCACTGGGGTGGGGTTGGCTCCTGCCAAGCTCACATTCAGTTTTGCCCAACGTGCAGGACTGGAGGGAGTTGGCCCCTCTGACTAGCGGTGGGATACGGAGAAGAAAGTTGTTTTGTGAGAGAGCTCGCAGCAGCCTGCATGGCTGTTTCTGAGTCCATGCAGGCAGGATATGCGTCCTGTGAGCGAGGGGAAGCCTCGCCTGGCTTTGCGTGTGTTATGGCAGCAAAAAAGCCCCGTTCCTGGGCAACTGCGCTGTTCCCCGGGTGATGCGGCCCACAGCCCCACAGCCACGTGCACTGAAGCGCCGTCAGCAAACCACCACCGTGGTCTGACTCCTCTTCCCCTGCCCTGAGGCCCACATGGTGGATGGTGATTAAGGCTTAAGAAGGACTTTTTGATGGGTGTCCCCAGGGATCCCTGTCTTCTCTGGGCTGGAGTCACTTGGTCGCTGCCATGTTACCTGGTGGCTGTTCCCCCTCAACACTGGAGTGAAGGGATGAAGCTGGATTTGCCAGGGCAGCCCCAGCACATTTGTGTTAGAAACCTTTTGGCAGGAAGGTGAGGGAGGATGGCATGGGTCTGGGGCAATGGGACTTCCACTTTCTGCCCCAGGGACTGGCCAAGCAATCACTGGTGCCTTCAGAGCCTTCCCCAGCCTTTGTACCCATGCACAGCCCCTCTACCTGCTGGATGCTTACAACTGGCAGTGGACCCCCTCCAAGAGCAGGGCCCCTGCTAGCTCTACAGCCACCCCAAGGAGCGAGCATGGCGCAGGCAGATGGGGATCTCTCGAGGCTGCTCCTCTGTGGATGATCTGGAGTGATGATCCAGGTCTGCTGGCCCTGGACCAGTAGCCCCACTGTCACACACTCTGGCTGCGAGGTTGCTGTCTGTCGCAATGTGCTATGGCGTGAGAGCCGGGGGAAGTCCTGGCAGACCACGCTTTACCCCATAGCCTCCGTTGGTTTTGCTTTTGGGCTGAAGAAAGCGTAGAATGGAAATTGGGAGTCCCCGTAAAGACTCATCTGTTAAAACCTCAAAGTCTGTGTAGTTTTCCCATCCTTATCTGGATTCTTTACCGTCTGCTCAGCCATGGCAAAGCAGGGGGTGAGTTGACAGCCGATTTCACCGCTCTCTCGCTGTGGCTTGATGCTTCCTTTTCGGTTCATGTATTTCCACATGCTACCTCTCTTTCTCTATTTCAGTGCAAGATCTTTAGGGCAGGGACTGGCTTAGTCTTGCAGGTTTGTGCACTGCCTGGCACAGCAGGACCCTGTTGCTGGTTTTGGGACTGGTATGGCCCAAACAGCAGCAATAGTTTTGTCCCATGAGTTGCCGAGCTCTTTGGGTGTCACAGGGTTATTGGGGAAGCATCTTTGATTACAGCAAACTGCACAAACGGTCTTACAGTAAAATGAGAGATGAGCCCAAATAAACAGCCACAGCTCTATAAAATGTAAGGTTTGTGCCTTCCCAAGTCTAAAGTACGGAGTAAAGCACGTGTGAGCACCAGGACTGTTGCTCTGGGTGCCCAGAGGAGAGCTGAGGCGCTGGAGGATGGTGGTGGGCAGCAGAGGAGGTGTGTGGGGCTGGGGTGTGGAGGTGCCCTCACAGCGTGGCGCAGCACAGGATGCTTGCAGGCAGGGAGGAAGCTGCTTCTGCCTGTCGCACCCCGGGCTCTAATGTCTGGTTTTGACAGTTGCCACAATTTGTAACAGGAAACCATTTTAGCAAAGAGGGGTGAAGAAAGAAACAGAAATTTGAGCGTGTAGG